TTCATTCATTACCTTATCATATTGCCATTCACCAACTGGATTCCATCGACCATGATGATCCAAACAAAATTTTTTTTTGACTATATCATGATCAGATATAAAACAATGTTCACCGGATGATATTTCACCATCTTCATTTAAACGCCAAACTTGCTAAACAAAAAAATTTTATATAAAATATTTGAATAGAATATGTTAAAATTATAATGTAAGAATAAAAAATAATAATAAAATACGTAAGAGTCAATGGTCATCTTACTTTTGATATATCTACGTATTAACATAAAGCTTTCTGTGAAAGGGACTGAGGTGGACTATCCTCTCTCGTTTTTTGCGTTGTTTTCGGAAAATTGTCTGTCAAGTTTTTAGCCCCTTTTTCTTCGAAAAACTATCAAGAATCTTTTTAAACTTCTTTATGATGGGATTTATCTTTTTTTTATATTAACACTTAAATAGTTTAAAGTCCTATGATTAATACACAAAAATTTATTTTACAAACTTGAATAAATGTATTACGCAAATAATTGTACAGGTGACTTGGTATTTTTTTTCTTTCTTCACTGTTGTTGGCAAACACTTAATTCCATTGCAAATATTTATAGATTTCAAGTATTAATCCGTAAAATCTTTCTGAGATAAACCTCGAATAACGGTTGCTTTTTCATTTATCTCATTTGCAAATATTTCAGATTACTTATAGTTAATCATCATTCACATCATAAATAACAAGGTCATAAAAAGATCAAATTTCCAAAAATCTAATTGCTCTACTGTTTCATTTAATTTCAAAATTAAATACATCCTTTACCATTAACTGATTTACAGAAATAAAAATTTCTATATCTCAAAAATAAAGTACACTTCATACAGACTCTCAAATATTTTCGTTTTCTATGTCAGTGCATCATTTTTTTAAAAGTTCAATCAAATTTCTATAACCAAAAGAAAAACAAGTTATGATCTGTATGATTTTTTTCTTCAAATAAAGAACTTTATTTCTCTACTAATCTTCTTATACAAAACAAAAAAAAAACAATTCTTACTTGTCTATAACAACCACTAACACCAATTGGTTGACCAAATGAAGCTCCTCGATCATTTAAACAAACTGAATGTTGAGCATTTTTACACTAAGAAAAAAAAAATATTTCAAAAATTTTAATCAAAAAAAATTTATATTCTCCATACTTCTCCCCAAACGATATTTTTTGGTGGTGGTGGAAATTTTTGTAAAACATCATAAGCAATATTTTCCATAAACCATTTAAATGGTTTACATTGTAATTTATTTCTTAATTGTTTACGTTCTGATATATCACCAATATCTAATTTACGAATAGCTGGTTCACGTATATAATAATATTCAGTAAATTCATCCATCCATACTTCAGCTAAACGCATATGATTTATAGATGTTTGATGTGGACTTGCATCAGGTACATGAACTAAATGACTTCGTGGACCACGATATGCATGTGCAACATGAGAACATGGCACCCATTCAACAACACCACCACATTGCCAAACTTTAAATGATAATTCATATCTAGAAAATAAAATAAAAAGATTTTTTTTTTTTGTTTTTTCTTTGTATAAAAAATTTTCTAATTAAAACTAAACATACTGCTCAGCTCCCCATACTTTTATGCCTGGATCATAAGCACCTAATTCAAAAAACCATTGACGATCAATAGCTAATAAACCACCAGCATGTGTTGGTGACCTACAAAAATATATTTATATATATATATTTATTAAAAATTAATAAATTAATTTTCTTATACCAATAAGGTTCGGATGAATGTTTTCTTTTGTTTAATTCTCGTTCTGGTACTTCAGTTTCTTTATATAAAAATCCCCATTCCCAAATTCCTCGAAAAATTGATGAACCATATATATTCATATGTTCTAAAGTTTTCCATTCAATTCCATCAACTATTGGTACAGCTAATGCTTTACGATTAATTGCAATACGTGTTAATAATGGTGGAAGCCAATTAACAACCTAACAAAAAAAAAAAAAAAGTCTTCAAATATTTTTTTTGAATTATTCATTTTTTTTCCAACATACACATTCACAATGAGCATCAAGTACAACAATAACATCACCAGTCGATTTTTCTGCACCAAGTGTACGTGCTGCAATTAAACCGATACGTTTTCCTGTTCGATAAAGTTTAACAAGACCATTCCAACGTTTAATATATTTTTCTAATGGTGCAAGTAAAGCAGCTAAATAGAAAAATAATAAATTAATTCTTTATAATATTTATATAAAATTTTTCTTTTTTTTTTAAATACATACGATCACTACTACCATCATCGATTAGAATTATATCTTTAAGTAATTCTTTTGGTGATGTATTAATTACACTATGTACAGTACGTAATAAAACACTCCAACCTTCATCAAAAAAAACAAGTATGACAGAAGCTGTTGGTAAATGTTTTACATCAGGATATATCCAATGTTTACATCTATATAGAAAAATTTTATTAAAAAACAAAAGAATTTTTTTTTTTTGAATAAAATTTTTTGTTTAACTAAATTTGTTCCATCCTCAAGAAAAAAAAACCCCATTTTTTTGCTATTGAAATATAGTCGGTCAAAAATATTTGCTAAAAAAAAGACTTTTCAACACTATTGATTTATTTTACTCTTCTAGTCTTGTATCTTTAATTTGTCTATCCAGGGATATTTTATCGGAAGCAACCATATTAAAACCATATCGAGTTATTGTTCGTTGTGCTTCTTGTTCTTCTGCAGCAGAAACTATAACAGGGGTACCTATTTAACAAAAACAAAAATAGATCAATTATCTTTAAAATTAAATTTCATTTTACCTCCTTCGCCTGGACCTGATTGTATTTGTCTATCTTTTGGTTCATAATTTCCCAGTGAATCACTCATTATTGGTTGTAAACTATTACTCTTTGTTGGACTTCGAATATTAGAAGATTCTGGATTAGCTTTGTTGCTCTATATATTCCAAAAATCGGTAAGAAAAATAAGAAAAAAAAAGTGTTTAAGTTTACATCTGAATAATCAACTTTATTTTCTTCATCTGTTGATCGACTAGTACCAGAATCAAGTTTGGACATAAGAAAAGGTATAGTAAAAATAAGAAATGCAAGTCCAATAATATAAAGAAATACACGTCCAAATCGATAACGCATCGTTAAACAAATAATTTATATTTATCTAATTTTCAATACTAATTAATAGATGACGTTTCATTCAATGGTTCTCAAAAAGTTACCACGTCTACCGTTCTCTTATCCATCTGCTGTACACTTTTTTCTTATTGACTACAGATCAAATACGAATAGATGTTGGTTTTAAAAAGAAACAAGAATTTACAAGATGGCGCTAGAAGTTGAAATTTTATTTTAAGATAAGATAAAATATATTTAAAATATACATTATTCTAATTAATAATTAAATGAATCTAAGAAAATAACATATTAGTTATCTTTAGATCGAGATGATTGATAATTCAGGTAAAAATAATTGAATACATTTTTTGCAAGATCGAAAAACTAAAGATTTCATTGTCAATACTTGCAAAACAAATTGAAAATATTGTTGCATTTGTATCATTATTTTAATTTGAGATGATGGATCAAATTGCAATTGACTTTGTGATGAAAAAATTTACCTTAAGAAATGAATCTTTTTGAAAACTTCTGTCTCAAACAACATTAATTCCTATCAATTAAACTAGATTTGCCGTACGTCTAGCTCGTGTCCATCTGAAAACATGATAAAACAATCATGCTTATAAGCGATCGTCAGCGTACTATGATGCATCATCGTATAAAAAAAAACTTCCTTGTTAATATCAACTACGATTTGTTGTTCATATAATAAGTAAATCTATAGTTCTCAACAGATTTATGAAAGACCTCGGATCGATTATATATGTTAAAATATCTTTCAGACTTTTGCATCTGATTGTTAAAAGTCTTAAATGAAATATAGAAAAATCAATTTTAATTTTTTGTTTTAAACAGAAGTAAAACTGTCCATTATCAATATGATAATATTAGTTGTATATATTTTTAAGGACATTTAACAATATATATAAATAGAAATTAGCATAACTTTTTAAAATTTGACGTTTTGGTTTGAACTTTAATGTAGTCTGTTTTCGAAATATGTATGAATTCGTACATAGTAATAAAATATAAAGCCGAAAATTTTTGACTGACAATGTCAAATAGATAAGATTTCTTTTTTGCTATGAGTAAATAATATTTTGCTTGTAATTGATTCGTTCAGTCTAATGTCACGCTGTTCTTTAAAAACATGTGAAACTTGTTATTTATACATATATAGAATAATTTTGTTTGAAATTATATTTGATTGTCAATGAAAAATTATCAAAATAATTCGATTGAAAGAAAGATGAATAACTGTTGATTAATTTTTTCTATTTTTTCATTAACAAACACATATTTAACTAAACTGATCTATACACAAAAAATCTAGTTATGAAAGAAAAAAACAACGTTCTTTTTGTTTTTACAAGGATACATATAAAATATTCAACAATAATTAACATTGTTTTTCGTTTCGTCTCCTTGACTTTTGTATTACCTTATCATATTTATTTATACGTAAAATTTATTTCATAGCATAGATATGTATATCATCATGTGACCATTGAAAAATAGGTATAAAAGAGGAACATAGAAAGAAAGTAGGGTGTGAATAATTAATGTATACAAGTAAAAAACATAGGTAATATGAAAATATATGAAGCGTAAATAGAAATATTCATCATTTATTAACAAGACTATTGCCTCAAAGTTAATATTTTACATATTTGGAAGTCGATAGAATGTCGTGAGTATGCTGAAATCTATACTAGTTATTGTTGCATAAGTCTTGTATTTTAACAATAAATAACAAAAAATAAAAGAAAGAAAATCTAATTATTTATATATATATATATATATTGTAGATTGTATAAATTCGTTTTTATTGATTCAATAAAATGGGCAATGATGTGAAATCACGTCTTCATATGAAAAAACATGAGCGCGGACATAAACATGATGGTGATTCAAGTCAGAATGCAAATTCTGGTCGAAATGAAGTCGATGAAACAATTATGAGTGGTCCCAATCGTGCTCGTGCAATAGATCCAACTGCAGCAGGTACTGGTAACGGATCGGGAACTACTCAAAGTGGCGGCACGTCAACTCCAGTTCATGGGCGTACATAGTTCTTAATATACTCAAAAAATAACTTTCAATGCTCATCGTTCAAGATTATTACTATATAAATAAAAAGCACTTTTTATTGACTTTGATATTGAAATAAAGATCGAAATAATATTAATGTTTAGCTATATAATCATGTGTAGTGATTATTAACTGATCAGAATGAAAAAGAAAATTTGAGGAAAAAAAAAACAGAAAATTTACAAGCCAACTCTAACATTAATTCTCAACAATATTATGTTAGAGTTTTTTTTTTCAAATAATATGTTTGAATATTGTCTTTCATTGTCAAATAATGATTCAAGCTAAGTTTTTCTTTATTAATTTCAATCAAAAATGAATGTATCAAAATGAAAATATTTATAACAAATTGAAACAATTGTTGTTGAATTTTACATATTTTGATAAATCCTTTTATTTACATAATCTCATTTACTTTATATCTTTTAATTGTTCATTGATTTTTGAAATGATTTTTTGTTCTGTTTTGACATACCTTGCCTGAATGTAATCGTGGATATTATTTTATATTTACTGATTAAGTCAATGTGACTTAGATGTGTAATATTTTCATATTAACTAACTGAACTGCTTTTGATCATTTAGCTTTTTTCAGATGAGCTGAAGTTATTGAACATCTCAGCTTATTCTATTATCTGTTAAGATCTATGACAGTTCCATTATTGTTTTGTACAGTTGAATTGGATTTATCACAAACCTATTAATGTGCTCATCAATTCACCTTCTACAAGAAGAATTAGCCATTGCACTTATCTCTTACAAAAAATAACTATTCATTATTATTTTTTTATTCGACTCTTTCAAATCACTGAACAAAAAACTGTCATATGCCTTATAATAGGAGAAAAAACAAACATTTTAATCTAATGTATTTGAAAAAGTATAATACAATAGAAAACTCTTTCTAGAATATATGGAAGTTTCAACACAAGCGAAGATTCAGATTTTTCTTTTTTGTTAACAAGAGATTTAATTGTTAATAATGATTAATAGATCAATTATCATTTCTAAAAAATTTTTTAAATAATATTGATATGATTCATTATCGTATTGTACAATATTAACTATGAATGGAAATATTTGGAATACTTTTAAAATGTGATTTAAATTTACAAAACAGTTATTAAGAAGAAAACTATTCAAATCATGCGCCCGTTTTGCTATTTATATTATGATAAGCGTTACTTTTATCAATGTATTGTTTTTTTGTTTGATTTACGTCTAAGACATAAATGTGTAAAAAAGAAAAACAAGCACAAAAACCTATTCAATCAATCAAAATAAATGACGAAAGCAAAAAAAAATATATATAAGAATCTAATAAAAATATATCAAAATTAATTATATATTTACTAAGTGAAAGCGATTTTGTGTCCTTGACGTTTATTCTTTTATAAATAACTTAATGTGTGACAAAATATACCTTATTTTATTATTTAGTATTTATGCATGAAATGTAAAATTTTAAGTACCTTGAATTAAAAAAACAAACACCCATATTTTATTTTTGACTTATATAGTTTTTTTTTAGAACAAAATACATGGGTAATCGTACGTCTCGTAATACTGTACCAAAAGAACAACATGATTCATACGATACAGCAATACGCTCATCAAATAAAAATTCTGATCGACAATATTTTAATACATACCATACGGATACGCATTATAATATAATTGATAATGTTTTAAATCATCATTTAATTATTATGAATTCAAATGTCAATATACAACAATCAGCTATGAATATTCATCAAGATTCTTTAAAACTAGCAATGAAAAATCATATAAATGCTATAGCTTTAAATACATCGAATTATCAACAATATCACAAAATGATATATACATTGTAAAACAATAATCCATAAGGATATTTTTTTAAATATTGTACTTTTGTATTTATATCTTTAAAAAAATTGAAAATATATAGATTTGAATTAACTGTTGCTTCTTCTTTTTGTTTTTTTTTTTATTCATCCATCATTTGTTCCATTGTACAAGTATTGTATCCTTATAAATCTTTTTGTTTTATTTTTTTTTATTATTCTTCTACATAATAAATTCCAAAACATAGTTTTATTATATTTTGTCGAACTTTCCTAGTCTAATATTAATCGTATATTTTTGATTATAAAAATATTCGTTTTAGGTTTTGATGATTGATCCGTGATATACATGACAAGATATTCAAGAAGTGTATCATGCAATTTTACTTTACAAAACATGTCAAATAATCGAAGCTGATGACATTGAATATAACTATCAAATAAATAAGAGAAATTTCTTTCGAGAATCTTTCAAATTGATCGAATAAAAATTTATTGATTTACTCCATTCAGATTATTGAAACTCATTATTTATCTAGAATTCAACGATTTGAAATTCTCAAAATTTTGGAATATTGAGTCGATCAAATTCTTGATTTTTCAAATGATTAATATTAACGATAAAGAAAACTTCAGAATTTTACTCTTGATTTATATAAAAAAAAGTTATCCTAAATCGATATCGATTAACTTCAACAAGTATTCTACTAAGAACGTTACTTATCAATTTAATAATATTTTTCATATTAATTTGTCACGACCTAATAGATATTAAATTGTTAAATATTCATTGTACGAGATTTTATTTATAATGCTCATAATAACGAAATACTTTCTAGAACGTATTTACACGATACAGCTTGTAGTTTACAGAGGAAAGTTTTTCAAACTTGTAATATTATAATGATAGGACTGATTTGAATCACAATATTATTCTTTTCAAGAGCACATATTATTATAGATTTCTTCGATTAAGATGACTCTACAATTATATTTCTTTTTCTTTTTTTGTGATCTAGTCACATTTCATATTCAGAATCCTGATTTAACTAATTTTAAAACTATGATCTATTCGATACATTATTATCAACACAGAAACTAAATGATTTTAGCTCGATTACAAAATAATATTATACGCAATATCTCATACGATATATTTTCACAATCATTTATTATAAATTTTGTTTTAATTGAATCAAAAATCATAGAAAATTTTATTGTGTTTTGGTTTTCATGAAAACTTTTAATGAATATTGAAAAGATCTATCGAACAATTGTTACATAACAATAAAAGAATCGAAGGTGTGTCTATTTTCCATCGTAACATATATGACAAGTAGAAAGAAAACAGAACGTTTGTTCTTTAATCTCTATTAATTAAAAACACTTCAAAGGATAAACACTTAATTAATATCATCGATACAGTCTTATTAATCAAAATAGAAACGAAAAGAAAATGATAGAAATTTTTTAGTTATATATTAATATGAAATATTACATAATACAAGTCACAAATCTAATTTTTTTTTTCATCATGAATTCATATCCACAATCTTATAATTTCTATGCTACATCACCATCATTACCATGTACTTATTCCAATTTCAATACACCTTCATCATCATATTGTAGTTGTTGTTATTCATCAACTCCATATTATCCTCAACAAACATCACCAACATTTGTATTTTCCCCACCGATTTCCCCTTTCATTCCTCAACATACTCCGGTAAGAATACTTTTTTTAAGAGAATATATTCATCATTCAATGGAGTAAGCCATTTAACATTATTATTTTTCTCTTCTAATTGAAACTCGTGATTTATATTCAATCTTTTTTTTTTTAGATTTCTACACCAACTGTTACAACAACTCAATCTGTAAGTCTTATTTAATATTTCTTTTTTGTTATCATCTTTCTATTTCATATTTAGATTCAAACTCAACAATCATCTTCAAAAATTACACGACTACAATATACAAATAAAGATCGTTATATACTCAATGAATTATTTAAACGAACACCTTATCCAAATGGTAAATTCAATTATATTTTTATAAATTTATATTTATCTTTTAATTTTCTAGCTATACAACGTGATTTAATTGCTCAACAACTTGGTATAACATCAGAACAAATACGTATATGGTTTCAAAATCGTCGTCGTTTACAAACACAACGTGATACTGGTGAACGATTAACAACAGCTAATGAAATTTCAGCTCTACAACAAGGAAAAACATATGTGAATTCGAATGAATTAAAAAATTTAATTAATGAAGTAGCTCAATATAAAAATGCACCACCACGACTTCGACTTAATGAATCGTCTTAATTATTTTATATATTTCATTATTTTTTCACACTTGTATATTATTTCAGTAAATAACATATAAAAAAATAAATAGATCTGATTGAAATTCAAGTTTTGATTTTTTTTTTAAATTGATGTTAACTATGATTCATGAATAAGTATAATTAATGTCAAAAATTGATAAGGAAGACATTTTGTATTGACACAAGCTTAGTTCATAGTTATTAATTTAGTGAGTGAAATCTTTACATAAACAACCTCAGGGATTTTTTTCAAAATACTTAATATTGAGAAATGAGATGAGATACATTTTGCTGAACGATTATAAAAATTTTGCCCAATATAACCTTTTACTTAAGCTTTCAAGCAATCAGAATACATTTAGTCTATTGTTCATCTTCTTTCAAATAAAACATGTTCAAATGGGATGATTTTCTAAATGAAATAAAAAATTTAATTTTATTGGACAACATCTCTGAATGTTCTTCTTTTTGTTTTGTTCTTTTTTTTTGTTTCACTCAATCAAGTTTGAATATTATTGAATACGTAACTTATATAATTATCGTTGATATATTCTGAATGTTCCTACGAAGATCGGATTGGCCTTCCCGAAGTTTTTGTTTATGGTATCGTGTAGTATGTGTATCTGTACTTCAAAAATTAGGCATTCGTCCTACCGGAAGAGAGAAAAATGGATAAAATACTGTTTGAATGTGTATGTTAGAAACAAGCAAATTCTCATTGATATGAAACCATTGATCAAAAAATTCATCAAATTTTAGTACTTGAGAGACTTTCAAAAGTTCATTTGAAGGGACTACTTTGATAATTCTTTTTCTTTTTAAATATTCAATACAGGGCTATGACAAAGAGAAAAAAGTGGAAGGAGAATGCAAGAGAATTTTTTGAGAGCAGAAAAGATGTATATACAATTTTCTGAAAGTAGAAGGTACGCACATCTCTGTTCTCATAAGTAAATAATGTTTAAATTCTGACAGAAAGACAGATTTTCTAAGAGATGCTCAATCAAAATGTGACCTTCGAAAAAAAAAACGAATGTCACCCACTTCTATTATTATCGATGAAATGTGAAAACAAATCGTTTTTTGTTTTGAACTCTCGGTCTTGTTCACACCTTTTTAACACATCATCAATAGCACATCAAATACATATTTGAGAAAGATAGACTTGTCGATGAAGAAAAACTTTAACTATTCGACAATGCCTAAAGACAAACAAGTTCAGTTACCTATTGAGCATATCACTTCACTAAGAAAATAGTGAATGCACTAATGATCGTTTGACAGCAGGAGGCAAGTATTTGGCTGCCGTCTGTTTGACTGATATGACGGACTTCTCCGTAGGGTATATTTAATTGTTGTTGACTCATCAACGCGTGCCAAGCCTATTTAAATTCTTATCAGTACACTTGCGTAAGCATAAAAAGACATTCTTGCTTGTTCTTTCTTTTAATTGAATATGAAATAAAATAGGAAAGAAAAACGAACTATTCGAATTAGTAGATTATTCGTTATTTTGTTTTCCTTTTTTTGAATGTCATCATTCATTTTCTTATATGGGAATGTGAAAGATAATTATGAGCGAGCTTTTCAATCGAACGAACGATGCCAATAATTCACGTGCCATTTACGTTATGTGCTAGAAAAACATACACACTAGGATATAAACTATGTACGATTGTCAACCTGGAAACAGATGATTAGATCACCGGGATGTCAATCGCTTTATTTCACTCAATTTATTTATATGAATGTCTATATTTAACTTGTGGCTCGTGTCACCTAAAAAAAAATTATTCGACTGTTATTGTGGGAAAATTATGTTATTAAAATAGACCTAGTGAACAACATTAAAATGATGATCTATAAAAAAAAAAAAGATTTTGACACAGTTATATGCTCTGTAATTTTCTAAAGAAGAGAAAATGCCGAACTCTTGACGTTGAAGAAAAACGGTGAGTAAGTGTGATAATTGCGGCTTGTTAGATTTTATGAGTATATGTCTATATTAAGATCAAACAAGAAAACATATTCAATTAAATTTTGATGATTACGTTTTAAGAGAAGTTTTTTATGATTCTTCATATCTTTGAACTTAAAGAAAAAGAAACAAAAATAAATAGATAAGAAAAATTTTCTTGTTTTTTTTTTCTCAGTGTTTGAACGTTTGTTTTTCTTTTTCTTTTTGTTTTTTACGACAAGGTGTCATGTTCTATTGTCATCATATCATCTTCTCTCTCTTGACCGATGTCCAAAAAAGTCGGTTAAATCACTTGAAATCTATTCTGTTTTTTTTTTTCGAATGTCATGGATCGTTTTCTGACGGCATACAATCTGAAGGCGACAACTCATCGAATTAGAAATATGAAAAAAAAGTGTGTCCGAAAGCATATTTTTGTTGTTTGATGATGAGAAGAGGTAGCACATGTAACAAAAAAAAAAAAGTGAACGTGATTTTGTATACACTTCGAAATAATCAAATGCATAAAGTTATATTTTGATTGAACTGTGTGAAATTCAAACTTATGCAATGAATGACACGTTATATATGAAAAAAAAAGGAACAAACTAATTTTCCTTGACCGTTGAAATAACTTTATTCGTTTTTTTTGTTTTCTTGTTTTTTTTCCAAAACAAAAAAAGAAAAATGACACAAGAAAATGATAGATGATCGTGACAAATGAGACAAGCGATTCATCATTTTTTTTTCTATAGATCTATTTTGGCATTTTCAATGAGCCTATCGCGCAATATATACGCGTGCGGCATACTATCGTTCGATTAGCATGTCTATCAATATAACTTGTTTGAAGTGGATATTATTTTGTTATTGTTAGTTTTTCAAGTTTTTTTGTTTTGTTCATCATCATTAACAAGCTATTTACTATTGTTGATTTTTTTCTCTTGAGAAATGTTCATATCTTTGAAGTAATATATATATATATATGAGATTTTAATTTATTATTTTTCATATGATTTTAAGAAACTATCTTCTATTGATATCCTATTCAATTGAATATACTTGTAGGTCAAGAAAAAAAAAGCCAGTTGAGTATATGGATCAAACAATGATAATTAATTAGCTATGATCATTATCAACTACAGTCTCAAGTGTATATGTCTTACAGATAGATGAAAATGATAACAACTAAGTTAGCACTTCACTATCAAGCAGTAGGAGATTGATTCGTTAGATAATAATGAATAATTGATTGAAAATATAACATAAAGAGCAAGAAAATCAAAGATATTCAATAGAAATGCTTACAATTGAAAAGAAAACATTATTATTTATATAGTAATTATATCAAAATACAGAAGCAAAAAAAAAGAAAGAAAGATGAGTAGTTCAATATTATTTGTATATACATTACGAAATAAGTTTTTCAAGTTAGAGAATAAACTTAATAACTTCATACGTAATCGTCTATTCGAAATGTGGAAAAAAAATGCATTATAATCGTATATTATTCCGATGAAATTTCTATATTAAATAATATCAACTTGCATTTCTATCAATGAGATTATCTATCGATAATAAAGCCAACGCTCGATTTCGTTTGATTAACATCAACATATTAGAACAGAACCATCTAATCTATGTCTACCAGTGTCGATCGGAAGTCTGCCTATTTGATGTGTATATCAACATTATACGTTTATTCGAATGAGATATAAATCAGGGTTGATCTTTTTTTTTCAAGTTGATGGTTGTTTTAAAAAAAAATTTAATTTTTATATTATCATATAATATCTTTCGAAGTCTTTTCAGTTCTTCATTTTCCTTTTCTTTCACAATGATTTATTGATCTCCAAATAGTCCTAATGATACAGAGCCATATTGAATTATCGACAAACACTCGATGCTTTTTGAAAAAAAAAACTTACTATAGGCTAAGTCAAAGATGAGACAATTGGGCAATTGGCCATGGATATTTTTCAGATGGTTCAATTGTTCAATGCCAAAAAACGTCGCTGAACATGCATGTTTCAACACTTTCGTGATACGATTCTAATACATTGTCTCTGGTTGTGATTTAATCAAGTAATTTACAAAGATTATTTGACGACATTTTCTTTGAACGATTCATATAATGATTAAATATCAATGATATTTTTGACCGTAACATTGATTATCACATTTAAATACTTTTCTTTTTGAAAGAACATGAATGATTCTACGCGATCTTTCCTAGATGTGTACGCATGCAACACATTAAATTAAACATTAGGACGATAATGCATGAATTAAAATACTTCGAAAATACGCATTAGAAACAGCCAGTAGTAGCAAATGAAGTGGTATTTTGGGATTTAAAGGTTGGATAAATAATTAACAATCAGAGTAATATAGAAAATAGTTACAAGTTTGAGTAGTGTCGCTAGCAATAAATGTAAAGTAGCTCTTGGTATTGTCCGACAAAACACAACAGACTAACATTCGCTATTACTGCAAAGGCTAACAATGAAAATAGAGGGACGAGGTTCATCTCAACACTGTCATCGTTAGTGATGTTAGGAGGGGGATCCTTTCATAGATGAAATATGAACTACTAGAGGATAATATCTCAGAATACTGTTTATCCAGGCACAATTTTGTTGCAGTTCTGAAAAATACTCACTTCATAAATTAACTTTTTTCAATAATTCTTGAATTTAATTAATCTTCTTCTCTTTATTTCGACTTCCATAATAGTATAAGTTTTCTATGTTGTTGAAGTACTCTTGAGTAAGGGAAAGAATTGTATTTCGTTCTAATCAACATTTAACTTTTCAGCGAAAACATGAAAGCGTAGTCACTTTGAGCAACGAAGTATGTAATCAAGGAAGGAGGCATTTGACTGTTAATACAAGAAAAGCTGAGTTTCTATGCAATGGATTCTAGATGGATTAAATAGAAATTTTTTCTGTTCCGAAAAGCAGTGGACTTCATCGACATGTTCTTCTACAACCGATACTGGATTAATAAGTCTAATACAACAAATTTTTCGTCATAAAAGTCTAGACTTCAAGCAAATGAAAAATAAATTCGCTACGCAGTAATTTTTAGTTACACATGCTCATGTCTTCAAGAAATTTAATTGGGAAACTGGTCACTGTTTAAAAAAAATTGTGACTACATCACTGATATTCAGCATATGTAATCGAATTTTAACATGAATATAATACTATTAATCATCTTTATCCATTTACTTATTGTAATTATGTATTACATCAATTTACATTTATTTATTTTATTTTATATACTTATAATTATCCAATTTTGTTATCACTATATTACTGATACGTTCGATTCGAGAAAACATTTTGTTCTTTTTTGCGAACGATAATTTTAATATAGCTTATCTTTTGAATAACATTGTTTACATATTTATCAAACAATTTTTTTTTCTTTCCGGATGCTTCTTCTCTTCAATAAATAAGAGGAAATTCAATGAATGATAAATGAAATGATCGAAATAAGAAATTAATAATCATTTCTCCTGTTAGCCTTTTCTCAGTGCTTTTGCCACAAATTGTTCTCAATTATTTCAAGTACACTAAAAAGAAGATTAAAAAAAAAAGTGAATATCTTTCAGATTTACTTTAATAAAAGGAAAAAGAATATGTCGGATAATATGAAGGAAACATAATGAATTGTTGTTCTGATAAAGTTATATACTTCTTTTGCAAGGTTATATGCTAATATACAGATGACATAGCAATAAAAATCGACTATGTTTGATCATTATTAGATAAAGTAGTACATTTTGAAATATTGCTCTTTTAATAAAACCATTAGAATTATGTTTGAATACTTTATTTATGGGTTGATAATACTTAAACTTGAATAATTATTTCATTAAGTTAAATTAGGCATAGTTTATATATTTAAATAAAATAACTCATTAAGACGATCTTCAACTTCTGTTTTAATCGAATCTTGAATGTTCACTTATATGTGATAACAACTTAGTTTGTTGATCTATTGTTCATTGTTATTAGAATCAACTAAATGAAAATTGCCCATAAATATTCTATTAAGTGTATTTGATTTATATTTGTTTCGTATTTGTAATATATCTAATCTCACAGTTGATAACAGCTAAGAAGCTTTATACGAGAGTTTTGCAAGTTTCATTTAGATGATAAATAAAAATAAAACATGTCTTCAATTCACTGATACTTCTCATTCACATAAGGGACCGATTGAAATGTCAATTGTGCGAAAGAGTAGCCGAAATGTCGCTGATAACACATTTGTTGCTTGTCATTAAACAATATTATAAATGGATTAAAAAGATATTCTTTGATTTAATTTGTCGATTACCAGCATATTGAGAGTTTGTCATAATTTATCCTTGAATTTTTTACTATTCAAACCTTTTATGGCTTACTTAGATCAACAACTTAATCGTCATTCTCTGACAAATTCGGCACAGTTAACTAATTAATTAAAAATGAATATGTGCTGTATCATACTAACAAGTGCTTCTTGGTTTATTTGATTAGTTAGGATAAATGTAATTTTCTGAATTACAAAAACAAAAGATCTAAAAAGACAATCTTATTAACGTCTCCTTGCATAAGGATACGCTTTATAGAATTTTTCTGCAAAGATTTCTTTTATATTTGATATTTTTTCAAATAATGGCTGGAAAAATTGTATATCATTAGTTGTTGCTTGTTCGTTTTCATTACGTATAATTATTTCCAGAGAAGTTTTTATTGATGAAAGCATCATTAAAAAATCTAATAGAAGATTGTTTGTTTCACCAGGATTTATTTGATTTTCTAGAATTAATGATGCTTCTGAACCATGATTAAAGAAATCTACTGCATAACTATTAAGATAATAGGCTGAATTTGTATGATCACGAATATCTATATCAATAAATGGCACAATACGTGTTGATAAATCAACATCATAAGCAAGATCCCATGAGCCAACAGTTGGATTATAGTTTGACATGAACTTTTCATGAGTAAGACCAGATGGAGCAGAAAAAGGAGATATGGATGGATTTAGTGTTTGTTGTGAATAATGATGATGAAGAGTATATTCAAATGTACCATTATCATAATCAGATAATTGAGAGAATGAAATATTAGAAAAAGGTAAGATTTGTTCTTGATTATCGATAAGTGATCGTAAATGTCGTATAACATTTTCAATATAAAATCCATAAACATCTTTAACTATTGAATTATAAGTTTGAACACGTTCACTAAAATTGATTAACATTTTTGAAAGAAATAATTTTGAATTGAACATTTGTTGTCGTCTCTTTGACACAAGATTTTCAAATTGTTTATGTGTAACTAGCCTAATTGAAACAAAAAAAGAATTATATGAAAAAAATAAATACAAATTTACCATGGTATATTTGTGAAAAGACGAGCAAGTACATTAACAATATCAATATCATGATTTAATTCATGAAAAAGTTGTGTATCCATCAAATAGACGAGAAGTATATTTGCTGGTTCAAAGTAATGTAAATGAGTTAAAAGTCCAGCTAGACCAATCAGATCACCTTCACCATTAATTAAATTTAATCGATGAAGGAAATCAAGTGTATGTAAACAATGATATCGAGTTTGAACATCGATCAAATGATATTTAATACGTGACTGTTTAATAAATGGACATTCAAGTGTGATTAATGATCGATTCATCGCATCTTTTTTATTTTTAGCATTTGAGTATAAATGAAGAAGACGCATAAAAAATGTAACACTTGTAGGAAAATGAGAATGAATATCAGGAATTGCTGAAATAGTCAAATGACAGATTTTTGATATTGGAATATTGATGAAGACTACATGTCCTTGGATATCAAAACCTCGACGACCAGCACGACCAGATGATTGTCGATATTGTAGAGCATCGAGAAAAATAGAATCCTTAACAAAAGCCACAGTTTTTGTTGGCATATGAATACCCAAAGCTAGAAAATATTTTCCAGTTATAGTATAAAGAAAAATACTGTTATTTGTTTATAACACTGACCTAATGTTGATGTAGAAAAAATAATTTGAACATATCGATTACGAAAAAGTGCTTCAACGGCGGTCCGTTCTTTATTATTCAATTCAGCGTGATGATAAGCCACACCTCGTTTCATATATTGAACTAATCGTTGATTGTATCTTGCAGCTCTTTTTAAGAGTTTCGAAACTAATTCTTGATCACATCCACGCCGATTGGCTAGAGTACCTTCGTCCAATATACCATATAACAGATTTTGTTCGTGACCTGATAACTGATACTGAACTCGATCGTCTTCTTCTTCCATTTCTTTTAATTCAGACGATTTACTATTGCTACATTTATCAGGAGTTCTAACTTTTTTTTTTCCTTTAGCTGATTTTTGTGCTTTCTCAAATTGTGTCAAACGTTCTTCTAATACTTCAATTTGACGTTTATATTTTGTTCTTCGTAATTCATTTTCAACTTCTTCCAAATATTGAGTAACACTTTCAGCTAATTTTTCACATAGTCTACGATTATCCATGAACGTTATACATGGAAGAAGATTTTTCTCTTTAAGTGTCAACACAAATTCAACGATTACTGTTGATATTGATTTTTGTTCTGGATAAGAAAAATCATTTGAACCAACGGAATTTATTGATTGAACAATAGAATCAATGGTGGAATTTTGTTGATTAGTAATTAACTGATTGAATTGATCAGAAACAAGGGATGAATAATTGTTACATTTACATCGTTCAATAATCCAATCTGTTGAAAAATATTCACTTAATGTAGGTATTGGCTTTCTGCTAGTGTCTTCGCAAACCGGTTCTCTATTAGAATAGAAGCAAATTAAATGTCGTACTATAAACTATGTACATACCCTGTTTGCCCTAATACATTTTGCATCGCATCCTTCAGTCGAAGGGTTTCATTTGGTGATAATGAAAAATCTTTAGGAAGACCACGAGTTATTATCTGCTTTGCATTCATAAGACCGATTGGATGAATGGGATGTAATTGTCGATTTGAATATAAATATTTGTTCAAATCTGCAAGTCGTTCATGATGTAAGATGAAGCATACTTGACGTGGTTCTAACGTTTCATATAATTCAGATCGTTGTTTTTCTACATGTTGAATCCATTGACATAAATCTTTCCCGTTATTAACTGTTGCTGAAAGTCCAATCATTGGACAATTGATAAGTAACATTGTTTTCTCCCAAACATCTGATCCTAATTCACCTGACATACAATGTATTTCATCAAATATACAATATTGAATTCGTTGACACCAACGTTGATAGTTAGGTGACAAGAGAAGAATTTCAAGACAATGTGGAACCGTAACTAAAATACGACATTCATCCACTTTGACACGATAATCTCGAGTAAAAAGTCCAAATATAGGACCAAATTTAGAGTAAATTGTAGCTGAAAAAAGTAACTCAGGTAAATATATTAACATAATAGATGAAAATCTTATTTACCAGCAACTTGATTGACAAGAGCTTTCGTTGGTGCAACATATACACAGATACCGTTTGGATTATCTTCATTTTCGAGTACATGCTTCATAGCATAATATGATGCATAAGTTTTACCTAGATATGTCATACAAATAAGAACACGAAGTAAGAAAAACTAACGAGACTAACCAGAAGCAGTTGGTGCCACAATAATAATCGATTGTTCTGCGTCAACAGCATTGAGAAATTCCACTTGCCATCCATCAGGAATAAAATCTGCTGCCACTCGACTATCGCGAATACCTTGTTCACGTCTTGGTAATCGACTATTTATCTTTTCCATTTGAAATCGATACCATTTTTCTCTATCTAATACTGAATCATCAACAAGCTCTTCCATATATTTCCTTTTTTCAGCAAATACATCTTCAACATTCTCGAGATGAACTATTTCAGTCATTGTAGCAAAAAATTCTATTTGAAGAAGTTCTAATTTTGATTTTTCTTCTATGGTGAGTGAATGCTTCTTTTTCAATGATCGTAGATATTTTTGTTGTAAGTCAAATTTTCTTTTGAGTAATTCGAGACGTATTGTTGATGTTTTAAAGTTTGGTAAACGTTCATCAATTAGATCAATTGCATCAGAATAATTATCAGTTGGAATTTGTTTTAATCGAACTTCAACATTTGTTCGTTCATGAGTTTCATCATCCATACATTTATTCATCTTTCGTTCTGTGTTTTCTTTAATAATTATTTCGCTTTTTTTTAGTTGAATTTTGTTTGGTTGTTTTTTATGTTGTTGTTTTTTCTTGCTACCAGATGCAGAAGAAGGAGAATCAGATCGCTCGATTGAATTTTCTTCATTGTTTGGAAGAGAAGTGAAAGTAGTTGGGAGAAATATTTGCATTTGATTATCTTTTATATCACGACTGGTTAATGATTTACCATATAAAGTAAAATAAGTATAGCTATGATAAAAGAAACAAACAACAGATTTATATTGATATAATAAATTCTTTTTCAAAAAAGAAAAAGTTATCATTTGATAAAATATCAAACGGTTATATATGAAATTATACAAAAAAAGAATAAAAATATCTCTTACTATTGCTGTTTTTGTTGTCCTCGAAAACGTGGATTCTTTTTACGCTGTGTATATTGTTCATCATCGTCTCGTATACGACTGACTTCATCGCCTACCTAGAATAAATTACTAAATAATTGCAAATTATCTATCAAAAAATATTTTACTTCTTTGTAAACATGCCAATGATGTCTTCCTACAAAAATAATAGTTTATTTTCACCAAGAAATAAGAAAAGCGTTTATACCTTCGTATCGAGTTGCTGGAATGTCGTTCGGTGTTACCCATTCAAATGTCGATGTATTATTTGATGAAAATATGGGTTGGAGAAGGGTATTGATAAAACGATTTGAGATCTTAGTAATTTTTCGATGCGTTTCTATTCGTTTGACTATTATTGATGATTGTTCAAATGTTGACCTCGAGAAATCAACAACATTCAGTTGAATCATTTGATTGACGACATTTTGAAAGAGATCATCACTGAATGGTATGTTTAGTATTGATAAACTTTCTCTAACAATCTCATATGTTTTTGAATCGAAACGAATATTTGATGATGATGATGATAATCGATAGAGAGTGAAAGCAAATAGATGACCATCGAACAGATCAGCTACTTTTGACCAAGATAAAGATGAAACTTGAGAAGATAGATTTGAAGAAAGATATTGTTGAAATTGTGCAATCATTTGAGACAACATGGGACTAAATGTAATAGAAGGAAAAGATGATGGAAGATGACGATCAAGTAATGAGAGACGAATGAGAAGAGCAACATGAAGAATAAATAATGGACAAAGAAGTTGAACTAGTTCTTGATCTTTTGTATTATTGATAAATTTAGCAATTGCTTTGAGATAAAGAAAAAGACGTATGTCATCTTGACAAATATTCTGACAAAATTTTTCATATTCATTCTGATCCTTTTGATTCTTGGTAATAGTAATTAATTGATTCGGTACTAGCTCGATGATCTTCTTCAATAAACTTGTTGGAAATTGTCGCTTAAATTGAATTTCAAAACATTGAACAGTAGTTTCAGTTAATATTAATTTATTCATTAAATAAAGGTGACACTTAATAATATTTTGATGATAATTACCAAAGAGACAATAAATAATGGTAAGTTGTTTCAGAGCGTTTTCTGATAGAAGACTACCGTTTTCCATGTCAAAATTCGCCATATCATGATAGAATATAAACAGTGGTTTTTCATCACGTACGAATTCCGAATATTTATCATCAAGCCATGATGAAAATTGTTGTACTTTTGTTATTCCACATTTATCTGCATTTTTAGAAAGATGTACAATGAGACAAGATCGAAGAAGACCAAGAATAGACGTCTCTTGTCGATATAATTCATAATGACAATCGAAAAAGAGAAGTGTATAATTACATTGATGAGATTGATTGAAAAGAGTGAGAAGAATTCGTTCAATAATGAAAATAACATGAAGAGTATTTCCATAATATGATTTAAGATCAACATTTGTATGATGAGCAATAGATAGAAGTAGTGAATCACCATCAATGAAATAATGTGTACTATCACGAAATTCTCGACGCACATCAAGAAAACGAGCCCTATACGGATAGAGTATGTCGATATCATTTAAAGAAATTAATGATATCATGGCTTGTTCGGTATTGTTTCTTGATAAAAGCAATTGAATTGTATCGAAAAAAGGTTGATACAAAGGATTAATTGTTGGATCTGACATATTTGATGGGAGACAATGAATAAGACGTTTGCGTTCATTATTATCATCTATATTTTCAGAGAGATGAGAAGCAATTTGTTGTAGCGCCACGATAACAATTTTTTCATTCTCATGCTTAATACATTGATCAAGACTTTGAAAATAAAGATCAACAAAATGATGATAATGCTGTTGGCAACAACGAAGCAGTTGAAGAAGTCGACGACATTGATGAACTGCATCAAAATACTCTGTTGATTCTTTCGAATGAAGACTCTATAGAATTATGTTGCTTATCAATCAATTTTATTATTTATATAAACAATACTTACATGTACCATTGGAAATGTTTTTTTGTCTTCAACTTTTTCGTCGTCATCGGATGATGATGTTGATGATTCTTCTTCAGAATCATTACTTTCCGATTTTTGACCACTATCTACATTACTCAATGTAGATACAAAGATGTCGGGGTGTACCTGTTGTAGTTTGTGATTAACCAAAAATTCCCAATCCTTAAGATATCGTGAGTGAAATAATTCATTATTTTTATGAATATTTTCATTAAACGCTATCTCGGATGTTGCTTCTGTATCGAGTAAATAATTAAGAAAATTTTCTATGTTTTCGTTCATTTTTAAAATACTAATAATATGAGAAATGACTCAACATCTTTATAGACACACAGCCAGAGAAAAAAACCTAGTAGAAAAAAACTCGTCGATAAACACTTTATTCTCTTTTCTCAGTATTCAAAAGAAGAATAATAAGAAAAAAAAACTCAACAAGTCATTACATCTTTTTGCTGATTAAATGTGCAATTACGAACCAATCCAAAATCAACATAGACTTTTCTTATTTCGTAATAAAGCGACAAAAATATTATAAGAACTGATTTCGTAGATATTACTTTTGTTAAGAAATGTCATAATTAATTCTTAGTAGTTAGTAAGTCTCTTTCTAGTTTTTGTAAAATATTCCTTTCTTTTTTCGTGACATTTCAATAATCGATGATACCTTCTTCAGACCTTATTAATGGTAAACGAAATCTACTACAACACACATATTTTATTTTTATTTTTCGTATTTCTCTCTTCTTTTTTCTGTTGTTATTGTGATTTTAATAGTAAATCTGCAAGACAGCTATAGCTGACAGAAGCGACTTATTATTGTCGCCTTCTTCTGACTCACTGTAACAGCAGAAAAAATAAGGGAAAAAAAATCAAAAAAAGAAAACAAAGTATATGTTTGTAGTACATTTCATTTATCATCAATAAAGTCTGAAGAAGGTATCATCGAAATGTCACGAAAAAGGAAAAGAATATTTTACAAAAACTAGGAAGATATTTGCTAACATTAACAATTGATTTCTTCGATGTCGTATAGTTTATAGGAAAAAACAGAACATGATTGAAGTGAGAATAGTTAAAGAAAATTATGATCATTAAAAGAGTAAGATTTTTTGCCCCCCAATGTAACCACTAAAAGCATTTCACTTCCTCTGTTTTAAATGAATATAGACCATGAAAGAATTCTTTCTTGGTAGACTTTGACTAGTTACTAACGAAAGCCTTGAAAATATTTCGAATCAAGAGACTTTGGAGCATAAGATTCTAACTAAAGCCTCACATGAAATAGAAAAGATGGAAACAGTTATTATTACAATGAACTATGAAAGCTAACAATGTGACAGACTTTAAAACAAGAGAAAATATGATTTTCATTAAGGGAACCTATTCATATTTTACAGTCACATTTTAGTTTTCTTCAATTTTTTCTTCCAATAACGAGGGTGTGGATGTGGATGTGAGTATGGAATTCATTGTGGACATGCTCTACACGCATACCCACATCCAGACACCCACATTCCACCTATACCATTACGTAGACACGCCGATAGGTAATACAACGTTTATAATCTTACAATATGCATTATCGTTGAATAATGCCAGTGAAGCGTTTTACCGTACCAGTAATTATGCAGGTGGAAACTACTATTATAAAGCATTTTGTATCAGTGTTTTTACAGCTGGAAAGCATTATATCATGTCCAATAGTACGATGTATACTTATGGATATATTTCTAACAGCATATTTCATCCTTCTGCTCCAGCTGAAAATTTAATGCAAGAAAATGGTGATGATGCAAGGCAATATCAATTTCTTTTAGCTTTAATTATTACATCGGATCAGCTAGCAAAATACGTTGTGGTGGTAACAACAGTGCTTTTCAATGTAACTGGGATGTTTTCAATTGTTGCCGTTGGATCAGTCTCAGCTACTTTCCCTGTTGAATAGATCTGATAATATTTTCTCTTAAAGAGTCAATTAAGATAAGTCGTGCTTTCTTAGATTGAAATGCAGCTTTTATTTTTCATTATGAATTCATCGCTTTTAACGTTCTTTACTTTGCTATTCTAAAAAACAGATCTTTTCTCGAAAAATGCTATAGTTGATTTTGGTTGGGCATTTTCACAAATTTTTCTTTTCTATTACATGCGTTTTGTGTCATCTCAATAAATAGTGAACGAATGGGGCGGATCATGATAACTTTTCTCTTTGAGATTCATTTTTTTCTAGAATTTATCTATTTAATATAAGTTATTAATTATGATGTTATGTAGTAATATCCAATACCAACATGTGAAATATCCTTGGACTCAACGAATTTTATTATTAAAGTGATAGCATTCTAGTCTACTGTAGTCTAAGCTGTGAAATTGAAAGCATGTTTTTTCTAGCAAAAATCAACTGAGTGATAAATCTTCATCGTCAATGGACATCTAGCCATTCGATGAAGACTATTTCGATTGTTTTTATTGTTTCATATCATGTTTGAGGAGGAACTGTGACTGACTTCTTCGAAATGTGGCGAATTTCTTGAAATTCCAAGAAAAAGAAGCTCATCATATAATTAGTGTTTCTTATAGATATTAGTTTTCTAGAAAATAGTTCTAATTTCTACTGGGAATTGCAATATTTTTGTTTTAATCATTGTGAAACTATTTTACTGACCTCGTATTATTGATCTTGATAGCGATTCCTAGTTCATTATACGAAACTTGTTCTTTTTTTATAATCTGTTCATATGATTTACCAAGATTTCAGTAAAACAGTTCACCATATGTCAGATATAGGAAAGAAGGATAATATTCATAGCTTTATCATTATTTCAACTTTGTTGCACTGTCCATGTACATATCTCACCATATTTCGGTTCATGTTTGAATGCTGGACATATGTGCTATCAATTGACTGTCTCGTGGAAATTTTATTGTAAATTTCATTAAGTTAATCAATTTTTTAAACAGAAAGAACTCTATGATTGCATTTTATTGAAACTTTGCTTTCATTTAGTTGTGGCACTTTCGTATGATGTAACTTTCGAGTATATACGAAAATGTAATTGTATGATATGAAATAACATTTTCATAATTTCGAATACAATTATTTTAGATGTCTTTTGACCACAAAATCATTTAATACCGAAAAAGTTTTATTTATTCATGAAGAGCGAGTTTCGAGTGTGAGCGTGTGGTGTGAGTGTGGGTGGATGTGGCATAAATTAAAAACATGACCCACACCGACATAAATAAAGAAATCTAATATTAACCATTAACAGCAACTACGTGAATTCCTTCTTCAAGTGCACATCGAAATACAAGTCGACCAATATGACCAAATCTATTAATACCAACTTTAATATCTGATGAATCATGTGGACTATGAAAAGAAATAAAGAGTTTTAACTATATTAGAAGAGAGAAGAACAAATAACTTACTAAGTGATGAAAACGTCTTGTGGAATAACCCAAGGCAAAGCCGCTCGGTCGGATGGATTTCAAATCCGTTTGAATCCGACGTTTCAGACGTAATCCGGTCCGGATTCCTTGGCACAGGATTCCAACGCAAACTGGAGCGGATCCGATAGGTTTTTAACGGAAGGCGTCGGATTCCGATGCAATCCGTTTCGGATCCGATGGTTGCCAGTATGATCCACAGGTCGGATTCAATCTCTTGGGTATCTCGGTTTCTCCGGAAGGCGTCAGATTCCGATGCAATCCGTTTCTGATCCGATCGATTTCCGGTAGGATCCACAGGTCGGATTGAATCTCTTGGGAAGTAACAACGATTCTTCTAATAATCGAATTCATGGTTTTTTATTTTCATAATACTCTTTTAATTTTTCAATTGCTTTTGTTTGAAGGTGCCATTTAATTTCACATCGTTTTATTGCATATACCTTCATTTACAATAGAGCTAAATGAACTGTATATCCACCACCATACCAACTTAAACCCATCAAAATGTTTTTTACTTAAGCAACAATATTGTAAAAAGACCAATGCAAAATTTTTATCTTTATGTGCTGTTGCGGCTGTAAAATAGTCGTAGAATGCATTTCAATGTTATTACACGATTTAATAATTGTTTTAAAAGAAAACAAACGTCATCATTATCATCACCAGTAATAATGTTGTTATTAAAATTAGGTAAATTCAATGACGAAAAAGCATTATGTATAACCAGGTCGACCATTCGGGCCGTCTGAAACGGCCTCAAACGACCATAAAACGGCATAATGAGGCATTAATATTCGCAGTAATCCGTCAGCCCATTTTACGGGCCGTTTTTTCGCTAGAAAACCGTCATACTTTTTCACATCATTTTCACCGTTTTCCGAGCTGATGGAAAATGACCTCGTTTTTCGACGGTTTGTATTGTTTTTGCGCCGCCTACGATCGTTTACGGGTTGTTTTCTTGAACCTGAGTAGCTACGCTTCCCTCAACACCGCCACCGGCAATGACTAAACGACAATTAGAAATTCTTGGACGTCCTTCAAGGTTCGAGTAAAATGATTTCATTTCTAGATGGCATTTTAATTTATCCGAAAGATATCGTAAATGATCTTTAAGAATTTTTGTTGATAGTTGATTAGTTTCATCCATTCAAAATCTGTAATGTTCTATGAGACACATGTTATTAGTTAAAGCAGAAGCAGGATCATAATAATTAAAATCGAGCAAGAAACCTATACAGAGTTCCAACGAATCAGTATCTATTGTTGTTGTACTCGTATTTGACTCTTCAAGCATATCGATATAAACATCAACAGATGTTATTTAACATCTGGCTAATTCCTTCATATATTTGTGACATATTAAAGACAATTAAAAAAAACAATCTATTCTTCAATAAAATGATTCAATTGTTTCTCATTTCTTTCTTTCCTCTACGATTTTCATTTTCCATGTGTCAAAATGAACAGATTTAATAATCGAATGATAGTATACAGAATAGAAAGAAATGTTAATTTAGCTAAAGCAGAACAAATATTTAGAAAATAAAAAAAAATTATCTTAATAATTCTTTCAACTAGTTAGGATTAAAGAAGCAACAGTTGCTGATTGTGTCTCAATTTTATGTGATCTTAAAGTTAATTATGAATCATATTTTGGTGGTATGATTTATTCATGTCAAATTTTTCTTCTATATTTATTTAAATATTTTTAGTTCGAATTCTTGATTCAGCTTTGATTATTGCGCCACAATTATCTAATCGTTATATAACAAATCAAATTTTACCTAATAAAGTTATTGATAAGAAATATTCTTTTATAAAATTTTGATTATTTGATTTTTTTAAAGGTTTAATTGACGAAGTTTGTGCAAGTATTCGTGTGCAATTGGATAATGAACCAGAAATAATTGATCAATTAGAACATCGAAAATTAAAATTAGATGTAGAAGCAACAGCTTTATCAAAGAGAAAAAGATTATGCTTCAAAACAACATTTAAAGCAAGTTAAAGAAGAGTTAGCAAAAATTCGAGAAGAATTAAAACTATTAAAATTAAGACATAAAGCTGAGAGTAATTAATGATTGATAAAGATCATTGAAAAAATATTCAGATATGACAAAAGATGATCTTATTTGATATGCAGCTTTAAAATTTGTTTTTTTTCTGTCTGTATTGATGATTGTATAGTAAATACTTTTCGTAATTCTCGTCAAGTTCGATCAAATATTAAATAAATTCCCCAGGCGAGCAAAGGACGACGGGTAAAAAGACTAGTCATTTTTCTAGTCGTGACTATGCGTCATGTCTAGTCTTTTTCTCAAAAAGTCCTACTACATGACTAGTCCAAAATGGTTTGGAATCTTTAACCCCGTCTGGGCATCCCGTCCGAAAATAGATTTTAAATTAAAAAAGACAGAGCGCCTGTGACGCGACATCTATTAGGTTTCAGTCTTATGTAGCGGTCTAGTTCGGACTAGTCTAAATGATAGAAATATGTGCAGAAAGTTAGATTCATACATGCATACCTTGTGTTACTTGCTCGTCGTCTACCCGATTGAGCCATATGAACTAGTGATCAACTTTTACATGTCAATACACATCTGAAGACACTAATTACTACAGTTTGACTCGGCGTTTTCTCAAGTTTTAATATTTATAGAAACTACTTGTAATAAAATCGAAAATTAGCTAACTAAAACTAAGCAAAATTAATTCAGAATTTTATTAATTTCCTTCAACAGAATTTTTTTTGATTATCGACATTTGGAAAAAATTATTTTCTATTGGAAAAAACAATTAAAATTTAAATCAAAATCAAAATAATAATATATATTTCAAAAAAAGATCTTGCTTTTCATCTGATGGTTTATGTTTATCTTAATTCAAAATATTTTCTATTTAAATTTGAAAATGAACTATGATTCTACCATTTAAATCCATTTTTAAATTCAAATCATTAAGTTTTATATTGAAATAAAATAATATTCTCATATCAATGCATTAAAACTAATTTTTCGAATAAAATTATTCTTGATTGTTATTACAATGTAAAAATTTAAAAGGACATAAATAGCCAGCTCTCGTTAGATACCTGGTTCTAGTCCCAATACAAACTAGTCTAAACGAATTGCCCGAATGATTAAGTCCAAGCAATAAAGACTGTTTGGAAGGATAGACTAGCCTGGACCAGAATTGGGATTACTTTCTCGAAAACGACTAGTCATGACCAATATAGATGACTCTTCATACTAGTCCGTGTTACCTATTGAAAACAGTTTAGACTAGTCAGGTATCCAATATTGTCGGCTTGAATGTTCGAATCCACCTATCACCTCCATTTCTTCTAGCTTTTGCCTTCAAGTTGACATGTCTGGACAGTATGCACATACAAAACGGACTAGCCATGACAAGATTAGAGCATGTTTCGGACTAGTCTATTTTAGATGCAAGACGTTGCTTGTGAAGACGACTAGTCCTGACTAGCTGCAAATCATTTCAGACTAGTCCAAACGGCAGTGCAGACATTTTAGACTAGTCCAGACGGGTACTACGGACAATTTAGACTAGTCATGTCGGACGTCACCCCTTATTTTTTGCTCGCCTGGGGATCATTTTCTCTAATTTAATTTACTTGATAAAAGAACATATATAATTTCGCATCGAAAAGATCAATCTAAAACTGAATGTATTTATAATAGAAGATTTAAGAGCTTAAGCTGTTGTGCTTTAAATGGTAAAGTAAAGGTGAACACAAAAGACTTTGATTAATCAGTTTTTTCCCTATTTCTGATCCACCAAGAAAATTTACAAACAACTTCCATAAAAAATCCAAGTAAGACATGGTTTCTGTATCTATTTTCATAAAAGAGTTCATCGGTTTCAAAAGAAAAATATTTTCTCAAGTCATCAGAATATCTATTTACAATAAATATTGCTTTTTCTTTTTCTTATCATAAGACTTTGACAACTTGACATGGAATATGAGTCATAAGATTTATTTATTATCATGATCTGTAAGCTTCTTGTAAAATTTGTGTCATCAAACATTTGATGATTTAAGTTAATTATTGAGTGAAAACCAAGCATTAATAATGTTCTTTAGCTATTTGTATGCTCGCATAGCAATTTTCATTATTAAATATTGTTAAAATTTAAAAATTAAAACAAAAACAGCATTTTAATAATTGTTTGTTTTACAAGTCAACAGGCTTAGTGGGTTTTTTCGTTTCAAGAGGACAAAAATGAATCATCTATGGTGTTCGTCCATGATCCAATTGCCATTTCTTTAACAACCACGACATTGGGAAAAAACCCATGATCACTGTATAAAATGTCTTTAGATCAGCTGATTTCGAAATGAAATACATGCAAAATCTATTTGACTCTTATTGAGACACATACAATTCGATATTTACAATCAATATATCAGTGAGTATTTTTACACTGTTTAATGCAACAGATTTATTTAAATAATCTTCATCTTATTTCGATCAATTGTGAATATTACATGGCAATAACATTAATAATCATTATTATTGTTGTCGTTATCATCTTAAGATGTATAAGTTATTTTATTTGGAACAAAAATAAACAATTAAATATTATTATATCGACTGGTGATGAGGCACATAATATACTAAAATCAAGTGTTTACAGTCGACATAAACCTAACGAATGGCTTATAGATACTTTGTCTATTGTAAATCCATTCACTATTAATAATGAATCCCTGCTGAAAGCATTTAAAAATAAAGTTATAAAAACATTAGCAAATTGGAACGATGAGAAAAAGTATGGAAGTCTTATTTCAATAATAGAAAATCGAATTAAATATCGACTTTCCTTATTACAATTGGATAATTCAAAATTTTGTTTATCAAAATTAGTCAAACAAGTGACATTAGATTCATTTCTGTCGGCTATTCTTAATGTCAATGCTACCGAAGAACTTCTTACAGAATTACCTGAATTAATTATTTATCTATGGAAAAATCATCATGATAAAAAAGCTCAAGATCGTTTACAAAACTTACTTTTAGCTAATAAAAATGAATTTTCTCAATCGGATATTTGGCAACAAATTCAAACAATATTATCCAATCATTCAAATGTTATTTCAAAAATAGCAACAAATGATTTCGATGAAAAAATTTCTAATCCATTGAATATTATTATTCCAGGATGGGAAACAATGTGGCGAGTTGTATTTTATTCATTACTTGAATTACTTCGTCAACCAAAATTACTTAGTGAATTACGTTCACAATTAAATAATCATTCAAAATCTTATCGAAATTGTCTTTTACTTGAATGGATTTTAAAAGAAACATTACGAGTATATCCACCGACTAAAAATATCTATCGAACAAATTTAGAAACTGGCCAACATGTATGCATTAGTGTTGTACAAATTCATCGTGATGAAAATGTGTGGGGTTTTGATGCACTTAATTTTAATCCTTATCGTTTTAAGAAAAAATTAACTGCTGAACAAGAAAAATCTTATTTGCCATTTTCAATATCTTGTCCAGCTCGATTTAGTTTTGCTTATGCATTTGCTGGTGTAATTGTAGCTGAAATCCTTAAATATTGTCCTAGTTTTAATATAGCTGAAGAATCAGCACCATTACTTACTAATCAATTATTAGATCTGGCTCGTAATTCATATAACGATTTAGTTACAATCATATAATTTTATCGATCAATCATTTATTGTTTTTTTGTTTTTGTATATATTGTGTGCATTAAACTGATAGAAAAATAAAGGATACAAAAAAAAAAGGGAAGCTTGTGCGTATCATTTATTGGGAATATCCCATTGAAAACCCAAATGTTTCTTCGTTTCATCCAAGGACTTTTTATCTTGACTACCAGGTTTCTTCTCACCATTTCCATTTGGTGATGTTTCAGTTTTCTTATAAGCATGGTTTAATTGATCAAAACGTTTAATTTCTTCAGCAACAGTCTAAATTAAATTTTTAACTAATTGAAAATTATGTAAATATTTAAGACATACTCGTTTCATTGGATAAGTATTACGACCATTTTCTTCCATATATGATATAACACGTCCTGTATAGTCTTGATATTGTTGTTTTTCGACTTCAGTCATATGTCTATCCAGTTGTACTTCATCCATTTCACTTGCTTTCAAGTCACATTGACGGTCTTTACGTTCTTGCTAAATAATTTTAGAAAAAAAGACATAAATATTAGAATTAATTTTTGAATAATGATTTCGTCAATCATTCAAATCAAGGTTGTTACATGGATGCTACACGATCGATCGCTCCGAATATATTGACAAATATATATATATATCACCAGGCTTTGTTGTATTGAAATCTTGTACAAATCACTGACCATCAACATTCGAATACTTTTGTCTCACTGACAACATAACTTATGTAAAACTTTTTATCTGTTTCTTGTTTTAATAACTAAAATCAGAAGTGTAATCCGCACATGCAAGATTCTCTCGGTCAAGACTTTTCTTGTGAGCTATACAGAACATAATAAACTCATTAAACACGAATCCGAGTCTAATATAATTTTGATAAAACGAAATAACAACAACAGTCAAACTTGATTATTATTCAAATGGAAAACATTTTCCCTAAAAATAATCGTTATGAGTGTATATTATGAATAGAAAAAAAAATGATTGTTTTTTTCTAATAAATTTTCATTAAACTTTATCGTAGAGCATTAAAAATGAATCAAAAAAGTAACGTGTTCTAAGTTTTCATCTTTATAGCTACTCTTTTTCTTTTTGTAGCCGTAAAGATCATTCCTAAACTAGTCTACAGATTTAAACTCAATACGAAAAACAAAACATTCATTTTTGTGTCAAATAATCTAACTTACAGCTTGTTTCAAATGATATTCTGAAATAGCTTGAGCATCTTGCGTACGTTGTTTTTCCTTTTCTTGTTGATATAAAAGATATAATCGATCGGATTCAGCTTTTTTTCTACGCATTTCAGCATCTTCACGTTCTTCAATTTC